ATTTCGTAATGAATGAGTTTGGTACGGCCAACGTTTTCCAGTCGAAAGCGGGTTGAGAAACTTATTTCGCTAGATATGATGATGAAGAGAACGGAAAACTACTTAAAACCAATGTTTCTCACTACGTGTTTAGTTGATAAGAGCAAAACCTGAAGGCTCGGGTAGCAGTCAGTCTGCTGGACTTGCAAGTTTATCAAACTGCAAAGTCTGCCGCTTAGAAACAAATTCTAGGTTCTCAATGTAACCTGCAGGCATAGGACGAATGAGCTGTCCACGAACAGGAGAGTCCAAGCATCTTCAAGAGTTGGTCAGCACGGCGTCAGCAATAAACTCAATCTGTCGTCTCGTGCCAAAATGCAGTCCCTTTGCAAGAGGATACAGCCTAGGCAATAGCATGAATAATACTACTAGCAAAAAATGGTAGAGCTAACGAAGAATGAAGGGTAAAAAGAAGGGACAGTAGGAATGTAAGACGACTAAAAGGAGGGGGGAGGAAAGGGGAGTAGGGCGGAAAAATTAAATAGAACAAGACAAGTAAACGGGGATAAAATGGCAGTCGACAGAAAAGTTTATAACAGAGTAAGGCAGTAGATTGATGCACCACAATAATGCAGTGTGTCCGTGAGAGCTCACCTGAAGTCGGGATGGGCGATTTGTATGAGCGCGTGGGCTCGTTGGCGCAGGGACTTGCCAAACAGGTAGGCGATGCCGTATTCGGTGACAACGTAGTGCATGTGTGCCCGAGTCGCGACAACGGCACTTCCCTTTCTCAGCACTGGCACAATAGACGACTCGCCGTGGGAGTTCTTGGAGCACATTGTGATAATTGGACGTCCATGACCATCCTCGGAAACCGAGGCCGCACGCGTGAAATCCAGTTGACCTCCAACGCCTACGACAGAAACAACGCAGAAGATAGAATGTAAAAAAATGAAAACAAAACCAGGAAATTGGATAAGGAGTGAAAGAGAGGGTCGTACTTCCCAGCACACTAGTTGTACGCTCAAATACCATGTGTTTGCGAAGTTCAAGACCAGTGATCAATTTCGAAAATGGATAGGATACGTTTGCCACCACAAGCGAACATCCGTGTCCCAGGAAGCAATTGAGAAGAAGAAGACTCGAT